CACCTTATAGGGTTCAGGGCCCCCCAGCCATGATTTGAAATTTTTTCATCCCTCAGCCTTGAAAAAGGGTTTTATCCCCAGCCCCTTTTAGAAAAAAAGGTTTTTTACTCCCTCAAAACCCCCATAAAGGGGGTTTCCCCTTCCCCCCAGGCCTTTAAGAAGGTGGTTTAGGTTTCCCCCAGCCTTGAAAGGAAAAGGGGTTCGTCCCTCAGGGCCCGACAAAAAGGGGTTTACAATCCCTCAGCCTTGACAGAAGGTTGGGTTCCCTCCCTCCCGCCTTAAATAAGGAAGGTGTTCCCTCCCTCCCGCCTAGATAAAGGTGTTACCCCCCCCTCAGCCCCATATAAGGGGTTCAATCCCCCCATCCATGATAGAAAAGTGTTCATCATTCACCTTGATAAAGGTGCTCTTCCCCCAGGCCTTTATAGGTGGGTTTTAGGGCCCCTCACCATAATAGGTGTTCATCCCCCCAGCCTTTACCGGGAAGTTTGGGTTTTTTAAATTTCCCCCAGCCTTTTATAGAAGGGGTTCACTCCCTCAGCCAAGATAGAAGGTGTTCAGTCCCTCAGCCATGATAGAAGGTGTTCAATCCCTCATCCATGATAGAATGTGTTCAGTCCCTCAGCCTTGATAGAAGGTGTTCAGTCCCTCAGCCTTGATAGAAGGTGCTCAGTCCCTCAGCCTTGATAGAAGGTGTTCAGTCCCTCAGCCTTGATAGGTGTTCAGTCCCTCAGCTATGATAGAAGGTGTTCAGTCCCTCATCCTTCATAGAAGGTGCTCAGTCCCTCAGCCTTGATAGAAGGTGTTCAGTCCCTCAACCTTCATAGAAGGTGTTCACTCCCTCAGCCTTGATAGGTGTTCAGTCCCTCAGCCTTGATAGAAGGTGTTCAGTCCCTCAGCCTTGATAGAAGGTGCTCAGTCCCTCAGCCTTGATAGAAGGTGTTCAGTCCCTCAGCCTTGATAGGTGTTCAGTCCCTCAGCCTTGACAGAAGGTGTTCACTCCCTCAGCCTAGATAGAAGGTGTTCGGTCCCTCAGCCATGATATAAGGTGTTCAATCCTTCATCCATGATAGAATGTGTTCAGTCACTCAGCCTTGATAGAAGGTGCTCTGTCTCTCAGCCTTGATAGGTGTTCAGTCCCTCAGCCATGATGGGTGTTCAGTCCCTCAGCCTTGATAGAAGGTGCTCAATCCCTCAGCCTTGATAGAAAGTGTTCAGTCCCTCAGTCTTGATAGAAGGTGTTCACTCCCTCAGCCTTGATAGAAGGTGTTCACTCCCTCAACCTTGATAGAAGGTGTTCAGTCCCTCAGCCTTGACAGAAGGTGCTCAGTCCCTCAGCCTTCATAGAAGGTGCTCAGTACCTCACCTTTGACCGAAGGTGCGCAGTCCCTCAGCCTTGATAGAAGGTGCTCAGTCCCTCAGCCTTAATAGAAGGTGTTCAGTCCCTCAGCCTTGATAGAAGGTGTTCAGTCCCTCAGCCTTGATAGAAGGTGTTCAGTCCCTCAGCCTTAATAGAAGGTGCTCAGTCCCTCAGACTTGATAGAAGGTGTTCACTAACTCAGCCTTGATAGAAGGTGTTCACTCCCTCAGCCTTGATAGAAGGTGTTCACTCCCTCAGAGATCATAGGTGTTCAGTCCCTCAACCTTGATAGAAGGTTTTCAGTCCCTCAGCCTTGATAGAAGGTGTTCACTCCCTCAGCCTTGATAGAAGGTGTTCACTCCCTCAGCCTTGATAGAAGGTGTTCACTCCCTCAACCTTGATAGAAGGTGTTCAGTCCCTCAGCCTTGACAGAAGGTGCTCAGTCCCTCAGCCTTCATAGAACGTGCTCAGTACCTTACCTTTGACCGAAGGTGCTCAGTCCCTCAGCCTTGATAGAAGGTGCTCAGTCCCTCAGCCTTAATAGAAGGTGTTCAGTCCCTCAGCCTTGATAGAAGGTGTTCAGTCCCTCAGCCTTGATAGAAGGTGTTCAGTCCCTCAGCCTTAATAGAAGGTGCTCAGTCCCTCAGCCTTGATAGAAGGTGCTCAGTCCCTCAGACTTGATAGAAGGTGTTCACTAACTCAGCCTTGATAGAAGGTGTTCACTCCCTCAGCCTTGATAGAAGGTGTTCACTCCCTCAGAGATCATAGGTGTTCAGTCCCTCAACCTTGATAGAAGGTGTTCAGTCCCTCAGCCTTGATAGAAGGTGTTCAGTCCCTCAGCCTTTATAGAAGGTGTTCAGTCCCTCAGCCTTGATAGAAGGTGTTCAGTCCCTCACCCTTGATAGAAGGTGTTCAGTCCCTCAATTATGATAGAAGGTCTTCAGTCCGTCAGCCTTAATAGAAGGTGTTCAGTATCTCAGCTTTGATAGAAGGTGTTCAGTCCCTCAGCTATGATAGAAGGTGTTCATTCCCTCAGCCTTGATAGAAGGTGTTTAGTCCCTCAGCCATGATAGAAGGAGTTCAGTCCCTCAGCCTTGATAGGTGTTCAGTCCCTCAGCCTTCATAGAAGGAGTTCAGCCTCTCAGCCTTGATAGAAGGAGTTCAGTCTCTCAGCCTTGATAGAAGATATTCAGTCTCTCAGCCTTGATAGAAGGTGTTCAGTCCCTCAGCCTTGATAGGTGTTCAGTCCCTCAGCCTTGATAGAAGGCGCTCGGTCTCTCAGCCTTGAGAGAAGGAGCTCTGTCCCTCAGCCTTCATAGAAGGAGTTCAGTCCCTCAGCCTTGATAGAAGGTGTTCATTCCCTCAGCCTTGATAGAAGGTGCTCTGTCCCTCAGCCTTGATAGGTGTTCAGTCTCTCAGCCTTGACTGAAGGTGCTCTGTCCCTCAGCCATGATAGAAGGTGTTCAGTCTCTCAACCATGATAAAATGTGTTCAGTTCCTCAGCCATGATAGGTGCTCAGTCTCTCAGCCTTGATAGAAGGTGCTCAGTCCCTCAGCCATGATAGAAGGTGTTCAGTGTCTCACCTATGATAGAACGTGTTCAGTCCCTCAGCCTTGATAGAAGGTGTTCAGTCCCTCAGCCATGATAGAAGGTGTTCAGTCTCTCAGCCTTGATAGAAGGTGTTCAGTCTCTCAGCCTTGATAGGTGTTCAGTCTCTCAACCATGATAGAAGGTGTTCACTCTCTCAGCCTTGATAGAAGGTGTTCAGTCTCTCAGTCTTGATAGAAGATGTTCAGTCTCTCAGTCTTGATAGAAGATGTTCAGTCCCTCAATCTTGATAGAAGGTGTGCAGTCTCTCAGCCTTGATAGAAGGTGTTCAGTCTCTCAGTCTTGATAGAAGATGTTCAGTCTCTCAGTCTTGATAGAAGGTGTGCAGTCTCTCAGCCTTGATAGAAGGTGTTCAGTCTCTCAGCCTTGACAGAAGGTGCTTGGTCCCTCAGCCTGGACAGAAGGTGCTCAGTTCCTAAGATTTGAGAGAAGGTGCTCAGTTCCTCAGCCTTGACAGAAGGTGCTCAGTCCCTCAATCTTGATAGAAGGTGCTCAGTCCCTCAGCCTTGACAGAAGGTGCTCAGTTCCTCAGATTTGACAGAAGGTGCTCAGTTCTTCAGCCTTGACAGAAGGTGCTCAATCCCTCAGCGTTGACAGAAGGTGCTCAGTTCCTCAGCCTTGACAGAAGGTGCTCAGTCCCTCAGCCTTGACAGAAGGTGCTCAGTCCCTCAACCTTGACAGAAGGTGCTCAGTCCCTCAGCCTTGACAGAAGGTGTTCAGTCCCTCAGCCTTGACAGAAGGTGTTCAGTCCCTCAGTCTTGATGTGTGTTCAGTTCCACACCCATAATAGAAGGTCCGTCTCTTAGCCTTGAAGACAGGTGTTCATTTACTTAGCCACAGATATTAAATCCAAGAAAAACACTCCAACATAACAACGAATAATATACCAGCATTTTTGTTTGCTAACATACAAGGTCTTAAACTAATGTTTAGAGTTTTTCAGACACACACACATTAAAGACTACCTTAATAATGAGGATACCAGGGTTCAATGTACTTAAGTGTGACAGTTAAATACAAGCAACGAGGGAAGGGAAGTATTGGCCTGTCTGTTCAAAAGTCTTTCATACGCACTAAGTTACTTAACAGCACAAATAATGGAGTACTTATATATAAGCCACCAGATGCAACTTCCCAGCAGTTTAAAAACCAACTATTGAAACTAAAGTCCTATCTGAAAAATCTCTCAAACCCGGCCCAAGTTGCTTGGTGATTTCAACTCAAAACAACTAAAATGCCAGGGTTCATCAAATAATGTATTATCAGAGAGAATTCCAGGAGTCAGTTTGGATTAACAGTCTCACACAAATGATCTCTGTAATAGAGTTGCCTTAAGGTGTGGCCGGGTATAGGGTCTTGTACCAACACTTTGTCTCCTTGATGGAAGGAGCGAAGCTTTGAATTTCTGTCATACTTCTATTTCATCGTATTTTGAACTGCTTTTAAGTTAGCCTTAGCTAACTGATGTGCTGCCTGCAACCTTGAAGCAATGTTGTAGAGTGTTAATGAGGCGTCTTCTCTCATCCATCCTTCCTTGAGCACCCGAAGAGGATCTCATACATTGTGCCCAAAGATTAGCTCAAACGGACTATACCCTGTGGACTCCTGCACAGTTTCTCTCATTGGGAACAGCAACAGAGGTAGTGATTCATCCCAGTCTGTAGGAAAGTATATGCAAAAAAGTTCTCATCAGAGTTTTTAATGTCTGATGGAATCTTTCCAAGGCGCCTTGGGACTGAGGATGATAGGCAGTGGATAAGTTGTGAATTATTTCTAGCCTAGTTAATGCTTCCCTAAATGCTTTGGCAGTACCTTGATCACTTTGAATATACCTCGGAATGCCAAAGCAGGAAATAAACCTAGTTAAGGCCTTAAGTATGGCTTTCGTATTCGTACTGCGCATTGAGATTGCCTCTGGATATCTCGTTATTCGATCCATAATAGTAAATAAATAGTGATTCCCAGATTTGGACTTAGGTAATGGACCTACACAACCTATAATTAACTCTGCAAAAGGTTCTCCATCGGCAGGTATAGGATGGAGAGGTGCAAGTTTAATGGGGTGTCCAGGTTCTCCTACTTCCTTATATTCTCTACAACAGCGGATGTGATTCTTCACATCTTGCCTTAACTTTGCCCAGAAGAATTCTTTTAATATTCTATACATGATTTTAGTCATTCCTAAGTTGCTTCCTAACGAAGAGTTATGAGATATATTAAATATTTGTGGTCTAAACTTTTTAGGAACTACTAACCTGTCTGTCTTTTGCTTTCTCTCCACCATCTTACCAGTCTCAGTGCAGATTAAGAAGTCGTTTTTAATTTTATATTTGACTGGGTGGTCTGAGGAGGATTTACCCATTGCTACTTGAAAAACGAAATTCAATAAAGGGTCTTTTCGCTGTTCTTCCCGGAAGGACAGTCCCTCGGGCATGGAAACAGAGATATCTGGCAATCCTGCAACCCTGGAATAGGAAGGCTTGATCTGGGTCTGTTCACTATGTTTATGAGGCTCTGGTCAGTTTTCCTCGTAAAACAAATTGGCTATTTCGAAATCATAGTCGTCCAAGGATGGGTTAGCATTCTCATCAGACATCCTTTGGGATTTTGCCCGAGTAATAGCCAACATTGGAGAAGAATTAGTCATTATAGGTTCTGGACACTTAGTAGAATTAATGTTATTACCCAGCAATAACACAACATTCATAGGAAATCCGTCAGAAACACCTACAGTCAAATATCCAGTGTAATATTTACTCTGCACACATATTTTACGTAAAAGGATAGAAAATACTGCTCCTCCAAAAGCTTCTAAAATGACGAATGATTGTAAAGATGTTTGTTCCGAGAGGGGAAGTATTCCCTCTCGTATCAAAGAACAATATGCCCCAATATCTCTAAATGTGCGTACTTCCGTTTTCTTTGAATCCTCCTGAAGGAAGACTTGACAGGTGCCATAATAAGGGGCCATCCCATACTCTACCTCTTTCCGAGTTATTTCAACATTGATGAGTCTGCCTACTGGTTGGGGCTTTGTTGGACAGTTAGGCCTGATGTGGCCTGATTTATTACATCTAAAGTAAACTATCTCATTTTTGACCTTGGTTCCCTGCTGATGTTGTGGCTGATGCGACTCTGGGTACTGATGTCGGGATTCACCATGATGAGTAACTTGCCGCTCACTAGGTTGACCATGGGTGAGTAGCGTGGCTCACCAGGTGATTTAGTTGGTTGACATCACCGTTCACCTTCGTCCTGGCACTTTGTTCTCCAGTCTGGAACTCTTCTTTGACGATCTCTGCTCATGCCAGGCTGTTGAAGAGAGACATAAGACCGCTCAGACAAGGAGCTGTTAGTTTCGAAAGCATCAGCCAATCTGGCTGCTTCCAATGCAGTAGCCAACGAATGATCTTGCAGGAAGATTCGAACCTCTGGTTCAACCGACTCCAGCAGGTTATCTACCAAGATTAGCTGGACAAGATCCCCGAAATTAGCGACACCACTTGCCTTGTACCAGTGGGTAAAGGCTTTGATCTGTTGTCTTACAAAGTCGACATAAGACTGACCCAGCTGCCGTTTACCTACTTTGAACTCCTTCCTGTACTTGGCAGGAATACATTTATAGGTCTCAAGAACCTTAGTTTTCACCACTCGATAGTTACCAAAATCAGTGCCATTTAACACTGATATAAATTCCTGTGGCTTACCGAACAACGCTGTATGCACCAATGCTGCCTAATTTACCTCAGGCCACCTTGAAACTCGAGCCTGGTTTTCAAAAGCCTCGAAAACTTGTTTAGGTTTGGCTTCAACAAAACGAGGAACAAGTGGTACTGCCCTTTGCAAACGAAGTCATCTACGCTCTGTTTGAATTGCCTCTTCTCCTTCTCTCTATCAAACTCCTCCCTAGCAAATGATCGCTGCTCTCTAGTTTGTTTAAGATTGAGTTTGGCTAGCTCAAATGTCAATGAAGCGGACTCTTCTTTAGACAAACTCAGTACATCTGTGGCTTCACAAGACTGATGGTTTTGCTCTGGTGTTGTGTCTCTCCCATTATTCTGTAGGAATCGAAGCGGAGATCTACAATTAACTGCTCCTGTAGAGGGAGAAACGTCAAGCCTGTGTGTCAGGGCTGTCTCGGCTTTCAACTTTGTACGAATACTGTCACAAAGCTGCGCAATAGTAAAAGTGCTTTGATATTCAGTACCAACAGAATGAGTTATTCGCCAACAACGCTGTAGAGAAAGCTTGGGCAGTTTTACTAGAGTGAATTCAGACACTAATCATCTGACTCGTATAGGTGGCATTAACCCCAACGTAACACGCTATTTGCAATACACGCTCAAGCAGCTATGCTTGAATTGAACTTTGTGTCAGAGGAAAGAAAGTCTCCCTGAAAGCATTGAGTATACATAGTGTATAGTGTATACTACAGTGGCTCCCTAGTATATTGATGATAAAGGCTAAAGTGTCATTTGAAAACAGGTGAATTTGTAAATGAAGTGATAAGCCTGTAGAGGCAGGTGCCAGAAGTCGCCAGAAACTTACCACAGGTCAGCTGTTTTTAATAATCTTCCTGGCCTGCTAGTGTACTCGCATATAATCTAGTGATACCAGTGAATAGCAGAATACAGTGTTGTAGTAGCAACTAACCAGTATTATAATGGTACTTAGTGGAGTGGAGTGACTTTCATTAGTTTCTTTTTCTTGAAATACGAGACGTTACTGTGAATTTCATATAACCTGTAGTTACCAGCGGTCGCAATATACACAACGAGAAGCAATTATTACTACAGAAAAAGCGTCCTTCCTCCAAAATTTGCACCAGTCAACTATAGTGATAATATAGCATTTATTGTGGTGGAGACGGAAAAAACAAAAATAGAAAAGCCAGATACAGCGATTGATAAACAAAGAGGTCGACTGTACGTCATTGTAGGAGCTGCCAGATATCACCGGCTCTTCAACACGCAAGTTATACTTTTGTATCAGTCAAATCACATATTACTCGGGTAGATAATTTCCAGTAGATCCTTCATGTGTTAGCTCAAATCACCGACCAGTATGTTTTAAATAAGTGACCCACTGATCAGAGCAGATCGACTGGTCCGAACCCTTGACTGGTCCGAACCCTTGACTGGTCCGAACCCTTGACTGGTCCGAACCCGGGACTGGTTTCAAACAGTTTCGTTGGACAATAAAGCAGACTGTAAACGGATGGGTTTGTAGGCGCCCTTATAAACACAAACATTAAAAATCAGGAACGTGACGGTAAGCTGTCCAATATACAAATAGAGTTAGAAACAGAAATACAAATAGCTAGAGCTTCATTTAAGGTTATTAATATAATATTCAAGAGGTTGCTAGTAGAATTGCAGTAAATCAACCATTCAAATCATTATGAAGCTGTGTGTAGTCTGTGGTCAGTCAAACAAACGGGCTTCCACATGGATAAATTGTCATTTTTGTGGAAATTGGTGTCACGCTCCTTGTGCAGATATCCCAGAACTAGCTACAAGCAGTATTAAAACAGAGAAGTGTTTTTGGGTATGCCCAAATGAGGAAAATCTGTGGACTAAAATCACAAGGGTATTAAAAGAGGATAACATCAAAGCTGCTTTCTTAGAAAACCTGGAAGCTTTCTACAACAGATGGGAACATAAAAAGTCTGGGCTGAATGGTACTGCCCTTGATACTGGCCATGTAGTCACAAACTGTAAGGCTGGAGGTGATGTCCTGGTAGTCAGTAAATGTGGGGCTGATAGTGCTGTCCTGGGAGGCAGTAATGGTGAAGCTGGAGGTGCTGTCCTGGGAGACAGAAATGGTGAAGCTGGAGATACTGTCCTGGGAGACAGTAATGGTGAAGCTGGAGATTTTGTCCAGGTAGTCGGGAATTATACGCAGGAAGGAATACATATAAACGACCTCATAGAGGACAAGAGCCATAGTAGGGAAACAAGTGTAGTCAAAGATAAGATAAAACCAATATTGCAAACTAGAAATACCGCAGGAAATAGCAAACAAGAGGACTCCAATAGCAATAGTGAGGATAAATTACCAAAAACAACTGGTGGGGCTCATTGTTGGTGCTAGGGAGGATAGGAGTAAGACAGGGAAACATGCACAACAGGGAATACAGTCACAGAAACCCAAGGGCAAACGGAAACCAAGCCTGTGCACATACTATGCACTTGGTATCTGCTGGCATGGGAAATCTGGAAAAACAGATGGGACATGCAACTATGACCACCCTAGAAAATGTCATGCCCATATGACAACAGGAAAATGCAAACTCCCTTCCTGTAAGCTTTTTCACCCTGAAATGTGTACCTCTTCAGTACAGGAAAGACTGTGCTATAACTTAAATTGCCAGGCATACCATCTAAAGGGGACAAAAAGATACAAAACATCCAGGCCATGGGAAAACCTGGGTAGCCACAGCCACTCAAGAGGGAGAGGTTTTTTAGTGCCAGGAAGGAAAAAAAACTGGCAGGAAATGGCAGAAATCGTACACCAAATCCAGTCATTCCTGAGTGAACCACAGTCGATGGCCTCCACTCCAAACCAACGGATACAGATACTAATGCCGGAAAAAAAATCCCCCCCCCCCAGTGTAGACAGCCTGTACTGTCTGCACAGACAGCCCATGCTGTCTGCCAGCTTAGTTCATATTTCGCGCCACTCAAGTGCTGCCCACCTATAGGCCTTGCCACTTCAGTATGCCCAGACTTGCCTCGCTCTCACTCACACCAGCGGCCTGGCTTCAACACACAAGTACTCTCATCTCTCTCTCGTGGGCATGGCCCTGCCCGGGCCATGGGCACAAACACACAAGCCTGTGTAACCCACCACTACTTAACAATAAACTAAGAAGCCTCCGAAGAAGTATATCATTTAACTACCCGCTCTACAGCTACCAAACAAGCCCTTTATATTGGTACCAGCGGTGGTCGCAGCGTTGTGTTTACCCTGGAGAGAGGAAGGAGAGGTATGAAGTCATCTTCACTTCATCACCCTACACAAGAAGCATCCGTCTCTCAACGAGTTATCCTGATGTCGTGTCTGCACGTTTGAGCATCCAGACACAGGTACAAGCAGGATCCAGCCGAAATTTGCCGAAATTCTCCGAGA